TGCAAAAGATCATGGGGCCAGCATGATGTGATGGTTTGAGCGTTGGTCTAAGACGCTGGGAAACCAGGGTTCAAATCCCAGCTCGGCCATGGAAACCCACCAGGTGGCCTTGGGTGAGTCACACACTCTCAGCCTCAGAGGATGCCAATGGCAAGCTCTCAATGAAGAAGAAATCTGCAAAGAAAACCCTATGATAGGTTCACCTTAGGGTTGCCGTAAGTCAGAAACGACTTGAAGGCACACAACAACAATAGCAAAATAGGAGAGTGTGCAAACTGGCTGAGTTGTGGACAAAGGGAAGAAGGGGAGGGAGGAAAGAGAGGTGGGATGAATTTGTGTGAAGGACATAGGAATTAGCAAAACTGAGTTGCACAAAGGACGAGACACGTACACAGGCTGCTGGGGATTAAAGATCAAAGAAACTACAAAGGATGTGTCAAGATAAAGACAATGAAAATGTGGAAGGAAGAAGCGAAAAATTGCCAGCCAGCCAGCTCCCATGACCAAAATCTAGGATGGCACACTTTATGCCCATTTTACAGACAAGGCAAACTGATCCTCATGGCATCAGAGAGGGGAAATAATCCAATCCTACTCCACTCAAAGTCTGCAAGGGACTTTCCATTGCCTGTGATGATCCTCATATTTTCTCCATCACATTCCCATGCTGATGAAACCATATTTGACTAGGGAGCTATAATTATTATAAGAAACTGGGATGCCCTTGAGATTCTGCCCTCTCTTTGCCAGCCCAGTTTGGAAAAGATCTTTTGGGGGAACTATGACTCCCAGAATCCCCCAGCCAAACATAATGAATGTTATTTTGCAGAGTACAGCTCCCTTAATCTCCTGGTCCAAGAAAAGGCAAGCCAGTGTGGTGTAATGGTTTGAGCATTGGACTAAGACTCTGGAGACCACGGTTCAAATCTTGGCTCAGCTGTGTAAACCCACTGGGTGACCTTGGGCAAGTCACACTCTCTCAGTATCAGAGAACGGCAATGGCAACCCTCCCCCCAAAGAAACTGGCTAAGAAAAGCCCATAATAGGGTTGCTTTAGTGTCGCCCCAAGTTGGAAACGACTTGAAGACACACAACAAAAATCCAAGAAAGGGATTTTCCCAAGCTCTGTTCCCCTTTCCTCCCTGCAAGTCTTTGGGACCTTGGCTCCTCACCCTTTCCTTCAGCTCCGGCACACCTTCAAGGGAGGGCATGCAGTGGGATGGCATGAGGATGAGAGAGAAAGGAGGATGAGTGAGGATGGGCAAGAGAGAAAGGAAAGAGGGAAGAAAAGGAGGATGGGAGGAATGAGACAGGAGGACAGAGGGAGAGGTACAAAGGAGGACAGAGGGAGAGTTTTGCAAAGGAAGACAGAAGGAGAGGTTCAAAGGAAGACAGAGGTGCAAAGGAGGAAAGGGAGAGATTCAAAGGAGGACAGAGGGAGAGGTGCAAAGAAAGACAGAGGTGCAAAGAGGAAAGGTTCAAAGGAAGAGAGGGAGAGGTTCAAAGGAAGACAGAGGTGCAAAGGAGGAAAGGGAGAGAGTCAAAGGAGGGCAGAGGGAGAGGTGCAAAGGAAGACAGAGATGCAAAGGAGGACAGAGGCAGAGAGTCAATGGAGGGTGACCTCCCTGGATCCTGGATCCTGGGGGGCACCCAAGAGTGCAGAGAGAGAGAGAGAGAGAAGGAGGGAATGGAGCAATGCAAGAGGGGATGCAAAGAGGGGCGAAGGCAGGGCTGGGGGGGGGGCAGAGGAAGGGGTCTCCTCCAGGCGCTCACCCCAGGATCCGCGTGTAGGGGGCCGGCATGGTGCGGGGCTGCTGCTCCTGCTCCTCTGGCCGCTCCCCTTCCTTCTTCCTTCCCTCCTTCCTTCCTTGCTTGCCTGCCTGGGGCGGAGGCTGCCTGGGCTCGGGGCCGGGGGCCGCCGGTTTTGAAGGCGGGGAGGGGCGCGGCTTCGCGGGCTCATAGGCTGAGCGGGGACCGGCCCCTTCCCCCCCGTTGAGCGGGACATGATGTAACCCCGCCTGGGTCTTGCTTGCCGGGGAGGAGGAGGAGAAAAGGAGGGAAAGCGGGGGCTGGAGGGCTGCCCAGGCAGCAAGAGTGCCTCTGCGAGAGTGCAGAGGGCCTGCCCTGCCCTTCCCAAAAATTCTGGCAGGCAGATCAGCGGAGCAAAAGGAGAGGGGGGCAAAGAAAGAGGTTTGTGGGGATCAAGTCCCAGAATCCCCCTTCCCCACCAGGGACTACCTCCTCCTCCTCCTCCTCCTCCTCCTCCCCTACTTTCCATCCAAAACGGGGACGTACTAAAACAAATGACAGCACTTGCCCCTAAGGAAACCATAGTTGCCCATAGAGAAACACTGGAGAATACTCGCCCATAGAAGTTTCTTGTTAGGGGGGGAAATATCGCTCCCCATGGGAAAATCATATACATGCCTCCGGTGTTTCCCTATGGGCAAGCATTCCCCTATTTTCCCCTCCGCAATGTTTTCCTATGCAGAGAGATCTTGTAGCACCTTTGAGAGAGACTAAGGGCCTTTGCAGACTGCCAGAAATAGTGCAAATTGA